TAATAAGCCAGTTCAATAGTTCACCATCGGATAGAAGCCGAATAATGTTCTATCTCACCATTCAATCAATAAAACCTTATGAAATTGCGTTGTGATGTTGGGAACAAAGTAATTGATAATCACCCTAGGGATTTAATTAAATTAATTAAGTTCACAATGTGAATGACCACTTACAACTGGAAGGTTATGGACAATGTATGATCCAAAAGGTCGTTACTTCGGAAAAATACTATCCAAAAACTAACTCGCTACCTTCCCCCCCAACTTGATATAAAGTTAAAGCTGTCCTTGACTAGCACGCAAGAAGCACGTGTGATTTTCAGACAGACATCGTTTGACCTTGGATGAAACACTCGTGATAAGGCAGCCTCTAGAATATAAAAAAGGCTTTGGGCTGCTTTGGTCTCAGTGCGATTCCAGGCTCAAAAGAGTGTCACGTCTATTTCTTACAGGTAAGAAAATTATGCTTTATACTCGCTTTTGGAAGTTAAAGATTTTATAGTGAGTTGTGGTATTCTTCTGAATTATTTTTATTTCATCAATATAATGTAATAGTGAGTTCCCTTTTCTACTATGAAATATTTTACTAATTTAATATTTTACTGAATTGATGTTCATTGAATTTATAATATAATATTATTGAGTTCCCTTCTTCCACAATCATAATATAATGAAATATTTTACAGCTTCGATGTTCATTAGTATTTGTTTGAAATATTACTAGCTTCATGTTATAATTAATTGAGAATAAATATATATTCTTTAAATGATAAGTATAACATTCACAGATCTTTTTCAGGTCTTTACCTTAAAATAAATAAAATAAAATACATTTATTACAGTTATTGAATTTTAGGCTCTTTGAATATTTAAATCACTTGTATTCAAAAATACAGAAAAATGAATGGACAAATGAAATACTAGATTGTGGAAGAACTATTTAATAAGTATTGTAATATGTATTGTATGAAGTTTCAGCATAAATAAATTTACATGTTGTATCTTTAGAATATATATATATATATATATATATATATATATATATATATATATATATATATATATATATATATATATGTCAATAAAGTGTGATTCCAGGCTCAAAAGAGTGTCACGTCTATTTCTTACAGATTCTTGGTACCTTCTCGTAACCAAAGCTTCTCCCCAAAAAGATGTAACCGTATCTACACCATCATAAGTGACACCTTATTCTTATGAACGCTGAACTTTCTACCTTCTCGTAACTAGACACGAGAAGAAGGTTATGATAGAAAACATCTAAACAACAAGCAGAGTTTTCTTATCATGGTAGATAGATAGATAGATAGATAGATAGATAGATAGATAGATAGATAGATAGATAGATAGATAGATAGATAGATAGATAGATAGATAGATAGATAGATAGATAGATAGATAGATAGATAGATAGATAGATAGATAGATAGATAGATAGATAGATAGATAGATAGATAGATAGATAGATAGATAGATAGATAGATAGATAGATAGATAGATAGATAGATAGATAGATAGATAGATAGATAGATAGATAGATAGATAGATAGATAGATAGATAGATATTGTTGAGAAATATCCGGTTTGTAAATTAATATGCAATTGATTGGTGTTCATGCTAATATGTTGAAATGTTGACGTTCAATATGTTTATAATATCAGTATGCAAAATATTATGTGTTGAATTTTAAATGGAGAACATGTTAGATATTGGAGCAGGTCTATTGAATTTTAAATGGAGAACAGGTTCGATATTGTAGGAGGTCTCTTGAATTTTAAATTGAGAACAGGTTCGATATTGGAGCAGGTCTATTTCATTTTAAATGGAGAACAGGTTCGATATTGGAGCAGGTCTATTTAATTTTAAATGGAGAACAGGTTCGATATTGGAGGAGGTCTTGAATTTTAAATGAAGAACAGGTTCGATATTGGAACAGGTCTATTGCATTTTAAATGGAGAACAGGTTCGATATTGAAGGTCGATTGAATTTTAAATGGAGAACAGGATCGATATTGGAGCAGGTCTATTGAATTTTAAATGGAGAACAGGTTCGATATTGGAGGAGGTCTTGAATTTTAAATGAAGAACAGGTTCGATATTGGAGCAGGTCTATTGCATTTTAAATGGAGGACAGGTTCGATATTGGAGGAGGTCTATTGAATTTTAAATGAAGAACAAGTTCGATATTGGAGGAATTTCTTGAATTTTAAATGAAGAACAGGTTCGATATTGGAGCAGGTCTATTGCATTTTAAATGGAGAACAGGTTCGATATTGGAGCAGGTCTATTGTATTTTAAATGGAGAACAGGTTCGATATTGGAGGAGGTCTTTAATTTTAAACTAAGAAGAGGTTCGATATTGGAGCAGGTCTATTGCATTTTAAATGGAGGACAGGTTAAATATTGAAGCAGGTCTATTGCATTTTAAATGGAGAACAGGTTCGATATTGGAGGAGGTCTATTGCATTTTAAATGGAGAACAGGTTCGATGCTCAGAATGCAGGCCATACATCTCACTGTACTCTTTACAAATCAACTCGCCAAAATATTTTGGCCAGAATGTTAAATAACGATAACGATCGTGAAAGGCATTATCTTCATCGATTTAAATGCAAAGATAGTAGATTTCGTCCATTACATTAGCAGTTTCAGAAATGATGGAATAGTTGCTTAATTATTCTTTAGCAAGTGTAAAATTTAACTATCCATCTGTGAAAGAATTGTATCACAGCTTCGCAAAGCGCTAATATTGTATGTAGTTATCGTGTAATCCAATCGAGTAAAAAATCCAACAAAGATCCTATACCGAAACATTTTTGAAAAGAATAAGATCCACAATTGTTCGCTTTGTTTTATTTCCTCTCAGAAATTAATCTAAATAATCTCTCTCTCTCTCTCTCTCTCTCTCTCTCTCTCTCTCTCTCTCTCTCTCTCTCTCTCTCTCTCTCTCTCTCTCTCTCTCTCTCTCTCTCTCTCTCTCTCTCTCTCTCTCTCTCTCTCTCTCTCTCTCTCTCTCTCTCTCTCTCTCTCTCTCTCTCTCTCTCTCTCTCTCTCTCTCTCTCTCTCTCTTTCTCTCTCTCTCTCTCTCTCTCTCTCTCTCTCTCTCTCTCTCTCTCTCTCTCTCTCTCTCTCTCTCTCTCTCTCTCTCTCTCTCTCTCTCTCTCTCTCTCTCTCTCTCTCTCTCTCTCTCTCTCTCTCTCTCACACACACACACTTACGTCGCCACTACATGGGATTCGTGTCTTTCCAGTACAGAAACTCTGCAAACGCAGAAACTGCTTCCTGTCTTTCTACATATTACAACAATGCAATCAATTTAGTTTCTCGTTTCTTGAGTAAATAACTTTGCCTGAGTGTTAAAACCCGCCCTTGGCCCCTTGCACCTTACTTCCACACTGTTAGCCTCGACGATAATCATCAATTGTACATTTGTACTACAATTTAAAAGAAGATACAGCAAATAATTGCTCATATCTAAATGATCATCAAAAATATTTTAATTTGAACAGAAAATGATGGCGGAATAGTTCTATACCTCTGATGTTACTTATTTTTACTCTTGCAATATTTACGTTAATCTATCTTTTCACACAGATCGTATTAAGCAATCGAAATCTAAAAAACTGTAAATACTTATGTCAACAAACCAAGGAATCTTAAATAAAGAGATGAACACTAATTCAGTACCTGTATTAAATATCAGAGGCACTGGTTATGTACGTACAGACATTTACTTTAAATCGAGTCTTGCTACTGTGGCATACATGAGACATGGTATTATTCCAAAATGCCCGTTTTGTCCTTACGTACTATGTGTTATACGAAATCAGTTTTGTAAAGTAACAAAAATAAATTCTTTATTGCATATTTTTCTCCATCCTAAGTTATATATTGGCAAAAATTTAGACTCGACCATGTTTTAAAACAGTGAGTCATCAAACCAGAATAGACCTATAGTGAGTACAGTGAATTCAGGATCTTTCTAGACATTGTCTAAAGGTGTATAGCATTTATGAGATAACCAAACATAAGGCAAATCTTTCTAAAACAAAGAACTCCATTAGATGAAACAAAACGAAAAAAAAACCGTATCATAACTAAAATAAAAATATTTTTTATTAAAGACAGAAAAGGTTGCTTTTGTATTTAGTAGGTGCAAAATATATAACAGGGAAAACGTTTATATATATAAATGCAAATAGTAAGACTGAACATACAAATAATTCTAAATTTCAACAACATAGAAATAAAGATTTAATATCAAACGTTAACTACGGGAGAAATGTTACGTATCTATAAGTTAAATTAGAAGTATTATATATGCCTTTTATGGGGTGAGGCAACTAGAGTTTCAGTCTGGTTGCTTAGCGGGCAGGTATTTTTTCATTAAAAAATATTCCAACAATTTCATGTAGTTTTAAATAATCATCACGACGCTTGTAAATTTATCTTCGATCTCTAAAATGTTTGGCATTATTCTGGTAGCAGCGAGGACACCATTTTGTTAAATAATAAAGTGTCTTTCTGCAAAATCGAATAGAAACGAGAATCAGTTGTAGTACTCCTTTTACCGCTAGCATTCTTTATGTTCGGTTTTTAAACATTTGCCTGGTTTACTATATATATATATATATATATATATATATATATATATATATATATATATATATATATATATATATATATATATATATATATATATATCGACGATGAATATGAGAAGAATATTATGTCAAAGCGAATTGATGGATTATATTAATTGTGTATATGCTATGGTTTTTATATATTTGCCTGGTTTACAATATATATATATATATATATATATATATATATATATATATATATATATATATATATATATATATATATATATATCGACGATGAATATGAGAATATTATATCAAAGCGAATTGCTGGATTATATTAATTGTGTATATGCTGTGATAATTTGTTTTATTCCTATATTTGAACACTTGGGACAGCCATGTTTGCCTAGTGGTTAGAGTGTCGGTTTCAGATGCAGGAGGTCACGGGTTTGAATCCCGGCCGAGTCATACCATAGGCTTATAGAAAATAGTACTAGCAGCTGCCTCGCTATGTGCTCATTTTAAGAGGTTAGTGTTTGCATTGGTCGGCCTGGTGTCAGGATAATGTGTTCATGGTGGGAAATGGTGCTATGTGTCTGAGGCATGATGTGCCAGTGATAGACATCACTAAAAAAACTGCCACACTGCAGACATCCTAAAAATATGACTGATTTTTTTTTAAACTACGTTAAAAATCCAAATTAAACACACACACATACATACATACATACATACATACATACATACATACATACATACATACATACATACATACATACATACATACATACATACATACATACATACATACATACACACACCTTTGATATAGTGCAGATATAGCATGTTCTTCGGCTACTTATGAGCCTCGTAACGATATTAAAATCAAAAGGACAGTTCTTTTACACACGCAAGGGCACAATATGCTCAGCCTTTCGTTCTAACGTCACTCAGTCATTTTGAAAGCCGTTATAAAAGGAATTTCACTGTCTTTCTCCATCGCCACCACTCTCATCTCTGTGTCACCAAATATAAATATAGCCACCACAATACGCTCCTCCTTTGTTGGGTTTGGTATGATGATATTCAGGTCTCCAAGAAACTGACATCCGGGGTCTGTGATAAACTTAGGTTCCTTTTCTTGTGACGTGTACACTGCCAGATCGACTTCGCTTTGGAACTCAACAGTAGTATGGTACACCTCTATTACTTGATGGCCCGTTTTAACTTCTGTATCCATCGTGATGAAAGGTTTTAAAACACCATGGCACCTTGCCGTTCCATTGACTATGACTTTCTTGCTCTCTGGATGCTTTCCGTCCTCAAACTTCGGTGTGAGTTTTACGCCGTACGTGTGACGCAATACCCTAGATTTGATCGTTTCCGGCTTCCGCCCAAATATCACGGCTCCATTCATAATCGAGATGCCGGCATCTTTTGGGATAATCACCTTTAATCCATTTTTGTCATGAAACTCTCCACGCATTACATCTTGAACGAAAGTAGATTCAGAAAAACCGCCCACCATTAGGATCAGAGTGACCTCCCTTCCCGCACCTTGTGACAGCATTGACTTAACATGGCGGATGATGTTGTCGGTTACTTTGCGGAACAAGCTACGCATCAGATCCGGATGAAGACGAATTTTATCGTTGAGTACGGTCACAGTGGAGCTATGGACGGATTCTGCCACGCAGAATTTTAAGTCGTTGCCCGTCATTTCTTTGCATATTTCATTCAAGGATGCTGGAAACTTTAATAATACGTAAATAGCAATATAAATGTTTGACTAATGACTAGTTTTGCTGTTGACATGCTTGGTAATTAATTATATCATAAAAAGATTGTTGTCTCAGTTCCATAAAATAGTTTTAAAACCTGCCCCTGACCAGCAATAGATTGTTTTAATTATAATAATGGCCTAATCCTTGCAACATTAAATATACATTTTCATTTGTTGGAAATGGTTTTGTTAAAATCTCCTGTCAAACTATCTAACCAGTGTTATTTTTAAAGTATTTACATCATTTGACACACTTCATACTTGGTCAATGACTATGGTATTATTTTAATTACCTTTTTAACAAAATATTTATATCAATAACATATTTCTGATGAATAGAACTTATTTATGATGAAGTTCTAAAGACAAGTAAAAATGGTAGCTATGTCAAATCTTTAAAAATGTTCAAAACATTACTTATAGTTTTAATTTGTTTTAAAAATATTTATATCATGGTACCTTTAGATTTATTTTGTCCTTGGTTCCCATACTGAAATTCCTCTTGGCCGACTCAAATTCTCTAAGCAAATCAAGGTAATCGTAAACCTGCGTTTTCATAAATTTGTGCATCACGGGGCCACCCACTATGCTGATCAAAAGTTGAAGAAATGCCGTGTCTACCGCTGTCCCTCCCCATGGACCCCCGCTGGCCTTGCATACTTCCTTTAGACCCCCTCGCTGAAGTTTCTCATGTATCGTCATATCAGCAGTACCACCTAAAATAAATATAAATGCAGTATGGCGCTTAGTCGTATTAAGAAAGATTGGAAATAGTGCAATAATTAAAACTGCCAATACTACGCTCACATATGCATGTATAAAGAATTCACTTAATTTTCAGATACACCCCAATAAGTATTTCCTACCTAATATTGTCCATATGAGGTAATAACCAAATTTGGCCATTTGCTTACTGAGTTTTATACCGTACTTTACGAAACATCTGAATACTGGCGCAAGTGAACCGTTTATAACGAAACAACAAAAACTGGTAAAAATGTTACCTATGGAAAAGCTTGTGCAAGCGAAAATGAATATAATGGTAATTCTTTAATTCATGCGTAAATCAGTACTTCACCATATCCTGATTTCGCCGAATCTGAGCTCGTTTATCATAACTTACAATAATTCACAAACGAATTCATTTTGCTTTCAATAAATATAATTATATTTTGAACATTCTTTATGCACAGCTAAAATAGTTACCCACTTTTCCTCATCAAGATGACAGCTAAATTTGCTCTTTTATTTTTGTGATTATATTTACTCATATATATATATATATATATATATATATATATATATATATATATATATATATATATATATGTGTGTGTGTGTGTGTGTGTGTGTGTGTGTATGTGTGTGTATGTGTGTGTGTGTTTCTGAAGAGCATTGCTGTAGATAATTAACTTCCGGTATCATATTAGTTACCATACCTCCAAGATCCACAACCATGTACTTGGTCCCGGGAGGTGAGGCAGTAAAGTGTACATTCCCACCTAGAGAGCTGAATTTGTCTACTGGAAGATATTGGCAGAACACTGATGCAGCTTCCGGTTCCAGGGCTATGCATAGCTGACTGGATAGAATCCCAGCCTATTTTTAACATGAAAAGTGCTGTGATATTAACTGTTTTTCTCTGAAAATCATGACGAACATAATGGAATCGAAGCTGAGCTAAAAGACATATGCGAAAGAATTACAATTTTAAACTAACTATACCACCATACTGGGCAGCCAAATATATGTTTTAAGTTTTCAAAAGTTGTTGTCAGACAAAATTGCTATACCTTTTCCGCGGCCTCTCTCATGAACTGTTTGGCGGCGTCACTCCAAATGGCAGGAACAGTTAGTACCCAATGGATCTCCGTGTCCTTGACTCCTGTTCCCCGTTTCTCTAACATCTGGGTCAAATGCTTTTTCAAGCTCCTTATTGACAGGGAGAATACGTCAATGGCGGGCAGCTTCTTACCTGTCTCATCTTCTATCAAGGAGGTTTTCTTCAAACCCTGAAATTTAAAAAGATAGCTCACATGAGAGAAGCTACATATGCTGGTAATGATTTTTATAACATGAGAAAAAATGTTTCTTTTATTCAGACACTGTTCTATTTAAAGAATTTCGAGGATGTGTGGATGACATGGAGAGGTTACTATTTGAGAAATGAAGCCACATTTTAATCGAAACAAAATATGACCATGATAGCATGAAATAAATAATAGCTATAATTTTCTTTAGGGTGAGTTATCGACAATACTTGTATCAGGTCGAATAGTGCTCTCTCTCTCTCTCTCTCTCTCTCTCTCTCTCTCTCTCTCTCTCTCTCTCTCTCTCTCTCTCTCTCTCTCTCTCTCTCTCTCTCTCTCTCTCTCTCTCTGAAGATAACTTTCAGTCCTTGCTATGTCATCCTTAGGCCGAAACTGATTATGGGGGAGTGCAAGGACCGTAACTCATGTTGCATAAACAGTTATAGCTGATTCCCCAGTGTATAGAGACAATAAGATTGTGTTTTATTAGCAAATTGCTCATACTTCGGACGTTTTCTTAAATGTACGTTATAAATAAGATTAAGTTGAATATAAGAAAACAAATAGTCACGTGACCGTTCACCATGTTTAAGGGCATGGTCTAATCTCAAAGACAATATAAAATGAAAATTCTCTCTTCCTCTCTCTCTCTCTCTCTCTCTCTCTCTCTCTCTCTCTCTCTCTCTCTCTCTCTCTCTCTCTCTCTCTCTCTCTCTCTCTCTTTAATGTTTCTAAAAACGTTTAAAATTTTGCTATTGATGGCACTATGTAACCGTTTTTGCCCTGAGGAGTGGGTCAAACTTACATACTTACGTACATACATGCATACTTACATACATACATACGTGCATTCATGCTTACTTACGTACATGCATACATACGTACATACATGCATACGTACATACTTAAGTACATGCATACATGCATTCTTACATACATGCATACATGCATCTAAGAAGAAACTGTGTTGAGTAGTTGGTGAAGTATAGGTAGGTAAGAATGGACAGGGTTGATCAGTTAATGAATCACGGTACTAATTCAGTTCCCATAGTAAATCCATGCAAACTCCATGATATTAAAAATTCAATAACTTAAAAGTTTTGAGTGTTCATGATCAAATCCATATCTATCAGTATAGATGAAACCTGAAAGTCAGCTTCTGTGTAGAGGAAAGGATATGAGCAGCGGCATTTTCTGGACCTGCATATGTTTAAGACATGTGCTTTCAGTTCCGCACCAATGAAGCAGGTGCTAATTTTAGTTATGAGTCTTCCAAACTCAAGACTATTAAAGTAATGAAATTCCATCAATAAAACAGTGTCTCTATTTTTATTCACTTTCAACTAGTATAAGGTCTCAAAAGATACTTTTTCCTAAAACTTAACCTACATTATTAACCAATCCTGGTCAGTCAAATTCGTATATTCTATATTTAATGTTCACCCATTTCCAGGCTTGTTCCCATTTTTCAGTTCAATTAGTACTGTTTGTCCTTAAAGGATATCTTCCAAAACTGTTCAAGAATTGCACCTTTCACAATGTTTGGCTAGTGTATAGTGTACTTAATTACGTCAACTGTGCTTAATTATCTAGCAGTTGTTTTTTTTCCCATTTTCTTGTTTCTTTTAACACATGAACATTGTAATGAATAGTTCTTACAGAAGGA